TTTTTTTTTTATCCATTCATCTATTGAAGGGCATCTGGGTTGGTTCCATAGTCTAGCTATTGTGAATTGTGCTGCTATGAACATCGATGTGGCAGATGACTTCAATTCTTTAGGACAAATACTGAGGAGTGATTTAAWGGTCATGTAGCGGTTCCATTCCTAATCTTTTGAGGAACCTCTATACTGATTTCCTTTTTTGTTTTCTATACCGATTTCCAAAGTGGTTGTCCTAATTAATCCCATCAATGGTGTAGAAATGTTCCCTTTTCTCCACATCCTCTCCAAGGGAATCATGGTAGTTAAAAATGGATAATTCAAATTTATCTCCAGAACTTGATAAAATTTTTTTGTTTTATTTGGTATCTGTTATGTGATTTTGTGTGTGTGTGTTTTAAATATTTTTATTAGCTATTGATGGATCTTTATTTATTTATTTGCTTATATGTGGTGCTAAGACTCGAACTCAGTGCCTCACACATGCTAGGCAATTGCTCTACTACTGAGCCACAAACCCAGCAACCCAGCAGTGTGTGTGTGTGTGTGTGTGTGTGTGTGTGTGTGTGTGTGTGTGTGTGTGTGTTTGATTCATTGTGTTTTAATAAAATAGTCTTCATCTCATCCCCTCCTCTATGGCTAGGCCAGTAACCCCAATGTATTATTTAAGTTATTTGTTCTCATTATAAATGTTTGTCTAAAACATAAATAATTTTATCAGAATTAAGGTCAACATTTTCTCTATTAGACACCTAGTCTATTTTAATTTGTGTATTTTTTGGGGTGGGGCATACCAAGGATTGAACCCAGGGGTATCAAACCACTAAGCCTCATGCCCAGCCTCTTACAATTTTATTTATTTATTTTGGGGGTTGAGTACTGGGGATTGAACTCACTGAGCCACATTCCCCGCCCTATTTTGTATTTAGAGACAGGGTCTCACCAAGTTGCTTAAGGCCCCCCCCCCAAGTTGCTGAGGATGGCTTTGAACTTGAAATCTTCCTGCCTCAGCCTCCCAAGCTGCTGGGATTTCAGGCATACACCACTGCTCCTGGCTATTTTTTGTTTTTTGAGATAGGCTCTCATTAAGTTACAGAGACTCCCCTTGAATTTGTAATCCTCTTGCTTCAGCCTCCCAGTTCACTGGGATTACAGGTGTATACCCCACACCCAGCTGAAACTTTCTGTTATTATTCCCTTTTTATCTTTTTCCCTTTCAGATTGTTGAAGTGGTTTAGATTTCACTTTTTACCTCATGGAATAGGAGTCAAGTTCTCATATAAATTATTCTTTTCCTATAGCTTCAGACAGCCAGTGTTCATGTTTTAAATTGACCATGCTTTGAAGTAATTGGAAACTCTAACATCCTCTTACTGTTGAAGTATAAAAATTTAGCCTGTAATGGAAGGTCCTGCTAGAGTTAGAGATGGTTCTGTGAGCTTTGATGTCTGTTTGCTAAGTATATTTCTAAAAAATCATGTAGATATCAGTAATTCTTCACTTTTTTATGCTCTGTAATGACTTTGAGAATCTGTTAGAAGCTATGTATTATCTTCCCTAAAAATGAACATATATTTGTGCTCATAAAATTTTACATAGAAAACTTTCTCCAATTTTTTGAACCAACCCCACACCCAGATTCCATGATTGGCAGGTTTTATACTAAAGGTATTTATACCAAAGGTATTTATAGAATATGTTTGCAAATGATGAATATTTCAGACTTCAGAGATAGGATTCCCCCTACCATATATCAAAGGTGCTGTGAGCATTCTATAAAAGTGGAATGAGTCTCAGGTGTATGTTGGGAATAGGAATTAATAATTAATAGGTGTCTTTAATAGCAAAGAAATAATTTATTTTTATATCTATGAATGAATAGAGTGGGGATTTATAAATTATATAGCTATCTTGGTTTCCCCMAAATCTTATGCATTTAATTTAGATATAAATATTTTAGTGAGTTCCTGAAATATTATTGTAAATTCATGTAGCTATAACATAAATGATGTTATTATTCAACATCTTCAGTTCTCAAAAAATAGAGGAATACTTTGGCTTAGTAGACAGAACTTATTGCTAAGAATAAGACCTTGGTCCTAGGTACAGCATTTTTAGTGTTTTCTGCTGAGAACCAAAAAGCATTTCATGGACAGATTTCAGAAATACTATGTTTTCTGTCATCTTCTTAGAGATCCATAATGTACATGAGCCTATTTAAAACCAAGAAGTTCCATATTACATAATTTTAATTGTTTTGAATCAGAATTTCTTAGTTTTATTTAAGTACAGAACTTTTTTCTTTTTAATATCTGTTAATACCTGAACAGCTAGCACGCCTTAGAACATACTTAAATAAACAACAGTTATCATGAAGACGGCTACAGCATGATAGTTGTGATTGCTCAATCTGATAGTTGACAATTATTTTTAATTAAGTCATAAATAATTAGGGTTGGGAGCCTAATGGAGCCAATCTCCCAGCCTTCCCTCGCCCCCCATCAAAAATCTTTGTATAGCTGAGTGTGGTGGTGCACACATGTAAGCCTCCCAGCAGCTTGGGAGGCTGAGACAGGAAGATTGTAAAGTTCAGAGCCAGCCTCAGCAACTTAGTGAGGCCATGTCTCTAAATAAAACATAAAAAAGGGCTGTGGTGTGGATCAGTCAGTAGTTTAACACCTCTGGATTCCATCCCCAATACCAAAAAAAAAAAAAAAAATTATATAACTTGACTCCCTGAAAACTGAACTCCCTTAATAATTGTTGACATTAGTGTTGGGCCTTACTGATAACCTTAAACAGTCAATTAACACCTTTTACTATCATAGATAATTTATTCCAGGGACAGAGATTAGCATTGCATGGCTTTTTTTTTTTTTTTTTAATCACAGTGCCTTTTAACAGATACTTAAGCTCACTGCAGTAGCAACAGGAAGTGCCTACAAAATTATTACAGTAGTATAGAATGTACTAGAGTTAATTTGTAGTTAAGCATCTTCATGTGTGTTTATCCTTTGACTAAGTGTGGTACCATGTATAAAGTCTGTTTATGTGCATAAATTTTAACTTTGTATTTCATTGTAGTAAATGATAAAATAGATAATTACCTACATTTTTTTTTTAACTTTTAAATTTTTGGGTAGTACTGAGGATTGAACCAGGAGGGCCTTGCACACTGCCATTGAGCTATATCTCCAGCCCTTTTTATTTGATTTTATTTTAAGATAGGCTCTTGCTATGTTTCCCAGAATGAAATATTTACATGTAATTATTTAAATGGCCCCTTTAATTGGTGGGGGGCAGGGGACAGGGATTGAACCAGGGGCACTTAACCTCTGAGCCATATCCCTAGCCCCTTTTTTGGTGGGGGGGGACAGGGTCTCACTCAATTGCTTAGGACCTCGCTAAGTTGCTGAGGCTGGCTTTGTACTTGCAATCTCCTGCCTCAGCCTCCCAAATAGCTGGGATTACAGAAGTGTGCCACCATACTCAGCTATCCACGTATACCTTATGCCTAACTATTTATTTATTTATTTATTTTTACATTTTCAGGCTGCTTAGTTTTTGAGTTTGTTCAGATTRTCAAAAATCTCCAACAACACCAAAAGTAAAAAAAAATAAGAATCTGCTTATAATAGACCCCTGCAGTTCAATCTTGTTGTTCTAGCACCAACTGTATTCTAATGCTGTTCAAATGTGCTTTTTCATTGTGTGAAATGTCCAGTTTTTAGTTTTCCCCTTTTTGTTGTTTTTAAGTTGATCATCTTTTAAGTTAGGTCTTGAACAAAAATATTAGTTAGGTTATCCCTTAATAAAGGAAGTTAAACTTAACCTTTATTGTTTAGGTTTTGTTTATCTGAAACCAGTTGTCCACAAGAAGATCACTTCCCACCCAATCTTTGTGTGAAAGTGAATACAAAACCGTGCAGCCTTCCAGTAAGTCCTAAAACCTTAATGTTATTTTTAATATACATTATCAATATAACTATCAAATAAGTAATCACAGCTGTTGTTAATTATAGTTTTTCATTAGGAAAATATTTTTATTTTGTATATTTTTTACAACTGGCTGCAACACTTGTACCAATTATGTACACTTAGCAGCTATGACAGCTATGGAGATAAARTTTAGGATTTGAAGTTGGACATGGTACCTTTGTTATGTTGGAAGACAGGGAGAATTTGTTTCAATAAAATCTCAAYAATGTTTATGTTAAACTGTAAATCTGTGGTAGAATGGAGATTTGAACAATGCTTTTCCTTACTTAGGGGAGGAGGATGGGAACTGTTTGGTCACTTGTATACTGATATAAACTGATTCGTAAATTTGAGAAATTTTGAATTTTTATCACTAATGTTTTTCTTAGGCTTACTGAGGTGGTTTAGAGAAATAGTAATAAACTCATAAAAATGTTCACTGTTTGTAATGAAAACATTCATATTTTTGAGTATATGATTTGTAGGATTTTTTTGGTTGGTGGTATTTGCTTTTTGTTTTTAAGAAATGAAAGTTGAAATGGTTGTGGGAATAATAAGTATAAATAAACTATATTTCTTTCTTAGGGTTACCTTCCACCTACTAAAAATGGTGTGGAACCAAAGCGACCCAGCCGACCAATTAATATCACCTCACTTGTCCGATTGTCCACAACAGTACCAAACACCATTGTTGTTTCATGGACTGCAGAAATTGGAAGAGTAAGTGAATAATTGTTTTTACCAGATTTTTGTATTTTAAGAAAGTGTTGTTCACCATGGCTCCCTGAGATTACTTATAAATGAYATTGTAAAATGAGTTGCAAAAAGATTTTTGTCTAACAATGAATTTTCAATGTATTCCCATTTGAAAAGTGGGATCCTGCAGAACCAAATGTTTTATCACCTGATCTTTCATTCAGCAATTCATCAAAATTGTTTTCCTGTATAATTACATTTTCTTTTGTATTTTAAATTTCTACATCTTATTTCAGTATAATATGCCATTATATAGCATAGTTTCTATTGTTGAACACTTCATTCATTGATTTATTCATTGTCAAGTAAAAAAAAAAAATTTTTTTTGAAGACCATCCTAGTATCTATAGCTATTATCTAGTATAGCTATAATTTAATAGCTACTTCATAATTATCACATGCAAACACATGACAGTTTTCTTATAGTAAATTATCAGAAGTGGAATTGGTAAGTCAGCATGCAGAATTTTTAGAAAATTTTGTGTACATTGACAGATTGTCCAAAAATATGTAAATTTATTCTCATTTAGTATTTATTTGCATGCCTGTCAACACTTATTATCTTTTAAAAAATCTTTACCATCATTACCATTCTAACTAGTTTCCTTTTTTCTTTTTTTTCCTGGAGGCAATAGGAATTGAACCCAGGGTCTCTTTACCACTAAACTATATCTTCAGACCTTTTTTTCTCTTTTGGAGCCACCAAGTGTCTGAGACTGCCCTCAAATTTGAAATCCTCCCACCTCAGCCTCCCATGTCCCTGGGATTTTAGGTGTGCAGTATATCTGATAATCCTCCTTCATTATTGAGATTGAACATGTTTTAAGTTTGTAACTATTTACGTTTAAAATTGTATCCATGCCTGTTTCTCTAATATTCTTTTTCTTACTGTTTTGTGAGTTTTACTTATATTAAGAATTAACCTGCCTGGTGGGCGCTGTGMTACACACCTGTAATCCCAGCAACTCGGGAGGCTGAGACAGGAGGAGCATGAGTTCAAAGCCAGCCTCAGCAAAGACTAAGACTCTGAGCAACTCAGTGAGATCCTGTTTCTAAATAAAATATAAAATAGGGCTAGGGATGTGACTCAGTGATTCAGTGTGCCTGAGATTACTTATAAATGATATTGTAAAATTTCAAATTTTACAATATCATTTATAATATAATTTCAAATTAACCTGTTTTTTTTTTTCATTTTGCAAATATTTGTTTCCAGTTTCTTAGCCTTATGTTTTAATTTATATAATTATTTAATGTGTAGGAGATTGTCATTATCATAGAACTAAATCTTTTTTTTTTTGTATTTTTTTTTTATTGGTTGTTCACAACATTRCAAAGCTCWTGACATATCATATTTCATACATTAGATTCAAGTGGGTTATGAACTCCCAATTTTACCCCAAATGCAGATTGCAGAATCACGTCGGTTACACATCCACATTTTTACATAATGCCCAATTAGTAATTGTTGTATTCTGCTACTTTTCCTATCCCCTACTATCCCCCCTCCCCTCCCCTCCCATCTTCTCTCTCTACCCCATCTATTGTAATTCATTCATAGAACTAAATCTTAACCAGTTTTTCTCTTTGTGGTCTTTTCCCCTCCCCATGATGCTTAGTCTGTGTGCCTTTTCTAAGCTCATGTAAATAAGCTAAACTTCTAGACTCTTAAGCTTTCATGTTTTGCCTTTAGATATTTAATCCATCTTAAATTCATATGTCATGTGATAAAAATTTTTATTTTTTAGTTTTCCAGTTCTAACACTAAATAAATGCAGATTCTAAAGTCACTATTGTTGTATATTTAATTTTTTATATATCCTGGGTATGTTTCTGAACAACTTGTATATTATTTCTTAGTCTAGCATTCATTTTCTGGGACAATTCAGAAAATTGCAGTTTTTAAATTATTGTTTTAAAATTCATAACATTAAATCAGTTCTATTTAAAATTTATCAAATGTTTACTCTGGTTATTTTATGGTTTATTTCAGGGTTCTTAGAACTAGAGAGAGGTCAGGGCTGGGGATATAGTTCAGATGGTAGAGTTCTTGCCTCGCATGCACAAGACCCTGGGTTCAATCCCTAGCCCCACCAAAAAACAAACAAACAAACAAGAACCAGAGAGAGGTCAGAGAGGGCTTCTCTGAAGAAGTGGTGACCAAACTAAGAGCTAAGAAAAAGGTAGCAATCGGTTAGGTGAAAGGTTCAGAGGAAACCACCCTCACAACAGCCCAGTAGCAGGGGTGAACCTATTTTTTTCTAAGAAGCTGAAGAGGATCTACTGTGACTAAAGCAGAGAGAATAGGAAAGAGCAATATAATAGATGGTTCTGGAGCCGGAAGAGGGCTAAACCATGCAGGACCTTATAGGTAATGGTAAAGTTAAGGATTTTCTCTCTTTTTTAAGATATAATTTGTTTTTGTTGTTTTCTTTTGTAGCTGTAGATGGACAACATGCCTTTATTTTGTTTATTTTTATGTGGTGCTAAGGATCAAAGCCAATCTTCACTTCAAGCTAGGCAAGCACTCTGCCACTGAGCTACAACCCCCACCCAAGGATTTTCTTTTTAATCAGAATGTTTATAGGTCCATATTTCTTTCTAGAAAAGTTTCTTCAGAATCTGCAGGACTATGTGATAGATTGGAAATATGGATGAAGAGAAAGGRCAGATGACTTCTTGGTTATTGGCTTGGGTAACTAGGTGAATGATAACACATTGAGGAAGAGGAAACATGGGAGAAGGACTGAGTTTAGGTATATTTTGTTTTGTTTTGCTTTGGAAGAGGGAGCATTGGAGGACTAGATAGAGAAAACAATGAGTTCAGTTTTGAAGCTTTTGAGTTTGATTTGCCTTTAAGGTATCCTAAATAGGCAATTGAGCAGATACACTAAGGGCATAAGTTTGGGCTAGAGGGGGAAAAAATATGTGACTCATCTGCATGTTAGTGGTTATTGGAGGTACACAGATAATTGATATTGCTTAAATGAATATATCAAGAAGGAAGAGAGGAGTGCCTAAGACCTATCCTTGAGGAACTATAACATTTAATACTGAGTAAAAAGAATGAGCCTACAGAGGATGTGGGGAAACAGTGACAGAGAATGGTGCAGGATAGAGGGTAGGTATGAGAAGACAAAAGACTCAGAAACAAAGGAGATGGTTGATATTTCTGAGAAAGTGTGAAGAGGTCAAATATATTGAAGTGAAAAAAAAATACTCTGAATTAGGAATGTGAAGATGACCTTAGTGTGAGCCATAAACCAGATTGTGATAAGCTGGAGGTGAGGCAGTGGAGAAGTATGATTTTTGGAAAGAAATGAAGGTAAGTTGGAGGGAAATGTAAGGTTGTGTTATTTGTCTTAATGGGAGAGTCTTTAACGTGTTTAGAAGATGRTGGTAGGGAACTTCTTCTGAGAAGACATTTGGTGTACAAAAGGAAACAGGGATAGTCAATACTGAATTGCTTGACTGGAAAAGCTCTTAATAGCTTGGAAAGAGCTTCTTTAATGGCAATGGGAAGATCAGGTAGAGTGTAGGAGACGTGAGTTCTGATTGATGACTTCCCTTACATATGTAAGACAGGAAGTGTGCGTGTGAGTTAGCTGAAATAAGAAAAATAAGGGCTTTAAAGAGAGTGAAAAGGTGGGAAAGGTTATTAGAGATAATGAGACAAGTTCCTGTGTGTTACTCTCTTTTTTCCCTACATTTTTCCCCCCTCATGAACTGTGAATTATTTTTATCACATTTCCTTTCCTCCACCTCAACCTCACATCTTTCTGAGAATTTGAGTGAGATTTCTTTAAAGTTATGGATCAAATTAGGGAGAATTTTTATTTACAACAATGAGTAATATAGTCACTCCAGGAACTGTGTTATTTTCCATTTACTCAAATCCTCTTTTATGTTCCTCAGTTAATAAATCTTGCATATTTTTGTGAATTCCTTTGTTAGTCATTATTATTACTACTATTGTCAACAGATCTTTTTTCCTATCACATTTTCTAAAATATTGTTTGTTTGTTTGTTTGTTTGTTTTATGATACTGGGATTGAACCCAGGGGTACTGTACCACCGAGCAATCTCCCTGGTTGCTGTTATTTTTTGTTTTCAAACAGATCTCACTAAGTTGCTCAGCTGACCTCAAACTTTCTCCTCTCATAACCTTCCAAGTTGCAGGGATTACAGGGATGTGCCAGTGTCCCTGGCTGTTTGTTTGTTTGTTTGTTTTTAAAGCTAGTTATTTTTTAATATTTACTTAYACCTAAATTCATATATTAGTTCCATTAGATTTTTAGATGCTTTCTTAGTATTTCCAGGTAGACAGTTTTGAATTTGAGATATACCATTACATAAGTAGTGGTAATTCTAATACAACACCATTATTTCTTGTTCTACTAGCTAGAACTTTTTGAACAGTATTAAATAACACAGGAGAGCCAGGCATGGTGGCACACATCTGTAATCCCAGCAGCTTGGGAGGATAAGGCAGGAGGATCTCAAGTTCAAAGTCAGCCTCAACAATGGCGAGGCACTGTGTAACTCAGTGAGACCCTGTCTCTAAATAAAATGCAAAATAGGTCTGGGGATATGGCTCAGTGGTTGAATGTTCCTGAGTTCAGTCCCCAGTACTGAACAAACAAATAAATAATGAACAAACAAATAAATAACACAGGTRATAGTGAACATATTTGACTTGTTCCTTATGTTAGTAGGAATATTAACTACCATTACAAAATTAAGTATCATAATGGCTATTAGTGTTTGATGGAACTTATTTATCATCAATGATATATTTCTGTATTCCTCTTTGATTGAACTTCTTTGTTAGAAATAGATCTTGAATTTTATAAAAATCTTTTTGACATCAGGGTAATATTATTTCCATTGATTAATTTACATGTCACCAATAGGTGTTTGAATCCTTATAAATGTTCTATTTTTAGTGTATCTTAAAGAGTTTCTTCCCTGTCCCTTTTTGAAGAGGGTGTTGAAAATGTTTTGTGTGAAAAATATAGCCCATAGAGGAAGAAAGGGGGTGCTTGTAGTAAACTCTAAAGAGGTCTGAAACTTTAGGAGACGAGGGACTGTGGTTGCTGAGGTACAGCACTAGAGAGGGGAAGATGCTTTACCTGGCCATGGAATGCTCTGGAACCTCAGAGCCTGGGAGGTCTACAAGTTTGAAACCTTTCTTTTGAAATAAAATATCGAGAAAAATTAAATCTTTTCTATAACCTAGAAGATAACCAACTAGATTGTTTTTAGATCCCTATTTTAATAACCTGTATAGATAACTCTTAACAGTTCATGTAGACACCGTTTTGCAGATAATTTTGTCTTGATTGGTTGCCATTGACAAATGTTATAAATAGGTCTTTCCAAAGAAAGTAAGTGGGAGAACTAGCATGATGCCTGAAGGAAATAAGTGAACTATATTATAACTTGTTAATCTACCTCAGAGTAACCACTGCCTTTAAGGTTTATTAAATTTTCATTATTTGTAGAGAAATTACTTATGCTGATATAGAGGGCATGTAATGAATAGATTATGTTTTAATTATAGAGTAAATATCTTTTGAATTTGTACAATTTCAGAAACTTGAAAAAGCAATAGATAAAAACAATAGAGTAATGCAGTTATATATCAATAGTTGGAATTAGGTAGTACTTGGAGGAGTTGACAGGCCAGTACAATATCTACCTAGAAGAGGTACTGTGCTACTGTTAGGTTTGGGGGGATTTTTGCTTCTGAACCTCTTTATATGATATAAAAATTAATTCCCTACTGTCAGTACAAGTGACATTTCCTACAACTAACATTGTTTTTGCAGCTTTTCTTTCTTTCTTTTTTTTTTTTTTTTAATTCTTCTCCATTTGGTTACATGTTTCAACTAGAGTGAACATACCTTTTCACTGAACTTCTTATTGTGGTTTTTACTTAATCTCTTCTTAAATATTTATATGAAGCCTTAGGGTAATTCCAAGTTCTGAAGATTCAAGCTGTCAGTACAGAATTTCACAGTGTTAATTAGCATTTCTTCAGTTTCTATTGTATTTGAAGCAYTAAGCAAATAAATCACAGTGCTGAATAAAGGGTTTTTGCTAAAAAGAAGCTTATCTGTACTGTATTAGATTGGTATGTTACATGCTGTGAAATTAGAGAAGTTTTAAGGTTACTTGTTCCTCACAATATTAATACTGTGAAATTTACTAATGAAAGCAAATTTGCTTTTTTACACTTGATTCCCCCCCSCAGGAAATATGCAGTATGTGAACACAGATAGGTTTCTGAATTCTAAATAAAATATTGACCTTCCAGAGGATACTATAGAATATTTTCTCTAGTTTCTAAGAGATGAAAGCTAGCATATGTATTGGACTAGTTTAGGAGGTTGAAAGCAAGTAGGATGTATGAAACCAAGAATTAAGAGAATGACATTTCCCTTGATCATTAAGTCTCTTGTTTGGTCCCTAACWTTTCTTCTGTTTCAAGTACCTGCTCTGTCACCAAGCTGTTACATGATCATAAGCAGATTATATAATCTTTTTGTGCCTCAGCAGTTTCATCAACCCTTTACCCAGAATAGTCCCTATCCTACCTATTTCTCATAGCCTTCTGCACAGTTTAAGTACATGGTATATGTTAAGATGCTTTGAAAACTGTATAGCTATAAAATAGAGATGGTAGCAGTTATTATTCTCTTTTGCTTCGTTTCAAGTCTCTTGATCTTCCTCTTGATCCTAGCACCAAATGGAAAATGATCGTTCTTATTTAGATCTCTCTCCTCCATTCCATAAGTCTCTGTCCTCTTTTTCTTCCTCTTATCTAACTATGTGCCCTTCATTCAGCCTTGGCTCTTCTGTATTCTTTGTCCCCTTCTCCAGCTACCATCTCTGGTGGTAATTTACCATACCAGTAGCTCCTATTTGCAAACTTTCTTTAGTCTCTGTGCTTTTTGGCCCAAGTGGAATCTTTTCAAGAGCTAGTTGAAGGCATAGAGAGAGGTTAAAAGGTATAGAATAGAAAGCCAATCTCATTTATAATTTTTAATAGCTACTATTTTAGATATGCCTATTACCTACTACATGGGATTTATGATATCTTGGACATTTTAATGGCCTTAGTTTGTGTTTAGCCTTAATAGTGTTCTGTCATTGGCTTTGAGTATAGGTAGTCAGGTAATATAGAAGCGTGACAGATCTTGGGTTTGAATTCTAGGTTTGCTACTTAGAATATATAGTTTGTTACTTGACAGTTATAAAATTAGAGCAGATTCTTTACTTCTCCATACTTTAGTTTCCTTATCCGTAAGGAAAGGTTTATGACCACCTCTGAGCTTTCTGGATCAGGATTAAATGAATCATTACTCCTGAAAACACCTAAGACAGTGCTTGACACATAGTAGGTATTTTAAGAAGTGTTAGTTTTCTTTCCCTTTTGCTGTGGGATTAAAATAGATGTATTATTTAACTTACATATGTTGTTTTCTACATCTTTTTTTTTTTTCCAGACCTATTCCATGGCAGTATATCTTGTAAAACAGTTGTCCTCAACAGTTCTTCTTCAGAGGTTACGAGCAAAGGGAATAAGGAATCCGGATCATTCTAGAGCTTTAAGTACGTATGATAAACTTATTTCATTTATGCAGTCAAACTATTTTGTTAAAGGTTAGAGTAGTGTTTTCTCAAGTTAAGAAATATTAACATGTATTCCTTTACTAGAGCCTATTGAAAAGGATTAAAAACACTTGAGAACCTTTTTTTGTGAGCTTATAAAACCAGACCTAAGAGTAGTTTTAATGTTTGTATCACAAATTATATTTTATAATCTATATTTTACTACAACTTCATAAAATAAAATGTTTATGGAATTTTAGGAGATGGGAAGACAATCCCTGCATAAGTTTCAATAAAATTATTTTAGATTTAGGAAATATATACAGAGTTATACGAAGACTATGCCTGTATTACTGAAGTAAAAGGAAACAGTGAGGTGATGGCAATAATAGTGAAGTGGGTTCTGCCAGTAATCAATTATGTGGCTTTGGACAAGTCACTCTGTTCTTGAGTTTCTTGTTCCTCATGTGTAACAAGAGTTTTGTAATATTTTAAAACCTTTCCAAACTCTGGGCTCATAGGTATATGTTACTGGATGGTTCATTTCAACATGTTAATTTTGGAATGTAAGCAAGGTCTGTAAATGGATTTACTGGCTTTAATTTTTGAGGTCATGGCCTTTCCAATGAGGTGAACTAAGTTGTTCCTTTAGTCTCTGTGAAGTAGGTTCTTCATGGATGAATTTAGGAGTAAAGACTCAGTGCTTACAGGTAGGGTTAGATAACTGTCATCTAAGGATTCTTGATGTGAGTTGAGTAATGGAGCTCACTATCAGTTTGGTACTTAAGAACAACTTACCTTAATGTGGTAAGGCCAGCATTCCTCTCCTTTTGTACAATAACTTTTATTTTTTTCTCTAACCTTTTTTTATACCAGAGTAAATGATTGCACTACCCCTGAATAACAATATACCCTTTAGTTTGCTGAAGAATTTTTCTATTTTGAAAGGGCCCTTTTAAAAATGCAGTTATTCAGGTATGCTGGCACCTGTAGCCATAGCTACTTGGGATGCTGAGGCAAGAGGATCACTTGAGCCTAGGAGTTTTGTAGTGAGACCTTGTCAGACATAATCCTGAGTCAAAGGGGAATATTTATTGACAGATGATGGACATCTAGAATAATAGTGCTGTTTTGGAATCTGGGGGATGTCCTTTGGCAGAGATAAGGAGATAGTAGGGATCCTGAAAGTAGAAAAGGGATAGATATCTCTGCTGAAGGAAAGTTCGAGAGAGGAATTCCCTAACCCCCAATCTTACTGAAGTTATTACTGGTCATTCCACTGACAATCTTCATACTTGCCTCACAGTGCTAGATTGTCAACTAGTGAAAAACATTATGGAATTCTGTGAGCCTGTGGGAAAAGAGAATTCCTAGAAAGATGACAGATAAAACTGTTGTATTTAATAATAATAATAATAAAAATATAAGGCAAGTGTCTTTGCACAGACTGTTAACCCTTCTCCACTTGTAGCTATAGCACCACCTGGAGGGGGAGTGATAAGGTGTGCCTGGGATTTTATTTTCTGCAAGGAACCACTGTTAGCACTATTAAGCAGCAAAACCTGCTTAATTCAAAAACTGTATTTTCAACTCGAATATGCTGCTGGATGTGGAAAGTATTCGAACATTCAGTGAGCTTTTTGTGACTATTTACATATTATCTTATATACTGGCCAGGGGAAGACATGGAACATTAATTTAAATCCCAACAGTAAAAAATTCATTGTAATTGACAACAAATTGAAGAAATAACTTTCCCAACAAATTAATTATGTACTTAAAATATTGCTTAAAGCAATTTGACAGATAAAAATGTCAAGCTGGAGCAGGGCACAGTGGAACGTCCCTGTAATCCCAGCAGCTCAGGAGGCTAATACAGGAGGCTTGAGAGTTCAAAGCCAGCCTCAGCAAGACCCTGTTTCAAAACATAAAAATGGCTGGAAATGTGGCTCAGTGGTTAAGCACCTTTGGGTTTAATCCCTGGTATCAAAAAAGAAAGAAAGAAAGAAAGAAAATATCAGAATATCAGGCTGGGCGTGGTTGCAACTCAAGAGGCTAAGGTAGGAGGATTGCAAGTTTGAGGCTAGCCTCAGCAACTTTGTGAGACCCTGTCTTAAAATTTAAAAATCAGAAAAGTTCCAGGTATGTAGCTCAGTGGTAAAGCACCCCTGGGTTCAATTACCAGTTATCCCACCCCAAAAAAAGAAAATATTTTCAGGTATCTCAGATATTTTTGAAGAATCAGATTATTTATAGATAAGTTCACTATACCTTATAAATAAATTCTACTGGGGCCTGGAGTTGTGGCTCAGTGGTAGAATGCTTGCCTAGTACATGTGAGGCATTGGGTTTGATCCTCAGTACCACATTAAAAATAAAAGTATTGTWTCCATCTACAACTAAAATATTAAAGAAAAAAATTCTACTGGAAACAGTTTTATTTGTTAAGTCAGGAGCTATTATGTATTTGAAAAAATGAACATGATAGTATTTAGAATTTTCACAGAGAAATCCATTTTAGGGATCATTTTGTTTAGTAAGTTTTTGTCTTCTGGTTTCTACTTTTATGTAGCCTCCTTCCCAACTATCACAAAGCCAGCTTTTTATTAGCTCTTGGTCAAGTTCCTCTCTCTTCCCCTCCACCTTTAGCAGTTACTTCAAGCACTACCTATATTCTACTCAAACACTTTTGTCCCTCTCCAAGCACATTGTCAATGTAAGAACATTGGGGCTGTAACAAGTGAATTCTAATTCTCTAAATTGCTCCTTTCTCCTTAATCTTAGTGCCACCATAATTACTTTTCAAGTTATCTACATTTGTACCCATTCTCACTTTATTCTTCAGTGTCAGGAGGAAATTTCCCTTTTCCTGCCTAAGTTAATCTTTTATTCATTTATTATTCTCAATTCAGAAATTATAATAAGAAGCAGGCACWGTGTACTTGCCTGTAATTCCAGCTGTCTGGAAGGTTGAGGCAGAACGATTGTGAGTTCAGGGCCAGCCTGGGCAACATGGTGAGACCACCATGTTAAAAAATAAAGAAAAGGAAATAACGTAAGGGTCCACTATGTTCCAAGCACAGTAGAATATACCATTAAACGAGATGAACACCATCTGTATCCTCTAGAAGTTTGCAGTCTGGTGAGAAAGACATTAAATGATTACACACGTCATTAATGAATTACAGTTGTGACATGTGCCTTGAAGAAGATAGACGGGGAAATCTGTAAAGGTACAACAGGGGAATGTAGTCTTCTCTCTGGTGTTGTGATGCTTAAAACAAAACTGTATGGATGAGGGAGAGTTAGGACGGAGATGAAAAAGGTAAATGCCAAGAGAAAAGGCCAGTGGAGCTGAAATAGAGAAAAAGAGGGGAATGGCCAGACAAATGGACAAGTGTTAATTAATTTAGATGATAAAAGATAGACAATAGAAAACCATGAAAGGATTTTCTTTTTTGTTGTACTGAGGATCAAACCTAGGACCTTATGTGTGCCAGGCAAGTGCTCTAACTACTGATCTACATGCCTAGCCAGGATGAAAGATTTTCTAAACAGAGGAATAATTTTAAACAGAAACATGTTCAGATTTGAAGAATTTGATCCTTACTTTGAGAACTGAATCAATGGGAGGCAAAGCTGATGTCGTGAGGTCAGTTAGTAACCTATAGCAATTAGTATACATAAGTGATGACGATACCTCGAATTATGGTAGTAATGATGGAAATACAAGTTGACAGTTTTGAGAAGTATTGAAGGATAGAAATTGTATTGATTATGTGTGGGAATGAAGAGAAAGTGAAGGGCATAGATTAGCTCTAGACTTCTTAAGCACCAGGTAACTTTTTCTTGCCATTTACTGAAGTAGAAAACAATACTAAAATGATCAGGTTGCAGAGGAGAAATCACAGTGCACTGTTATATTGTGTGTGAGAAGTGATTAGGCATCCACGTGTTGATGCTAAGAAACAGTTTTATAAGACCTGGCTTTCTCACTTATCTGCCCTTTGCCCTGTTTCCAGTACTCTCTCTCTGTAGTCTCTTCCTGACACCCCGCACTGTCAAGTCTCTTTCATCTTTTAAATATAGGAAAACAAGCTCCTCTCTAGTTAGAGCTCTGTGTTCCTCCTGTTGTTCTCATCCTAATTTCTTCAAAAGGTAGACTGCACTTGGTCTTTGTACCTCCTTTCTGCAACTTATTAAGGTCTTCTAACCTGCATGATTCCACTGAAACTGATCTTGGAGATGTCACAAGTGCTAGTCTGATTGCCAAGTGTGATTTTTATCTTGGATGTTTCTGTTGCATTTGGTACTAGCCATTTTCTCCTTGGGATTCTCTCCTTGTCCTTCTCTGACCATTTCTTTTTAATCACTTGCCTTCAGTGGATTCTTTTAAGAGTGGTGTCCTAAATGTTAGTGTTCCCTGAGATCCATCTTTGGCCCACTTTTCTGTGAACATTTCTATAGACAATCACATTGCTTAAACTGGCACTAGCTCCCAAATAATGTATTTTCATCTCAGACCTTTGCTTTGAATATCTTATTTGTATAGCTAACTGCCTTCACCTAAGCATTCTACTGGGCTGTCTGGATTCAAGTATTTGAAACTGAACTGATCAAATCCTGTTAAACTGACACCTGAAATATTTCTCAAATCTGTCTAATCTTATAATTGCCATAATTTAATAAACCCTTAAATTCTGCCTCTATTTTTTTAAAAAACTATTCTTAAATRATATGTCCCTCTCTTTTCTTGACTCTTCATAGCTCTCCCCTGGTAGCAGCCTAACTTGATTTAAATAGATCTGATCTTACCATTCTCTTCCATTCCATGGCTTGTTAACACCAACAGAATAAAAACTCCAACTTCATAGCATAACATTCAGTTTTCCATGATCTGGCACTCGTATTGTCATCTGTGTGCATTCTTCTCATACTTTACATTCCAAATATGTAATTCTTYCCCCCCCCCCGCCCAGTGCTTTAGTTTTGAACTAAGG